GAAAGAGTTAATCCTTTTGGCTGTGATTAAGGGGGATGGGGGGTGGTTCAGGGGTTCAAATCCAACTGTATCAAATAAAAAAAAATCCATTTAATTCCTCCAAATCCTTCCACCAAGAGAATCTGTCTTCCCTTAACCTGCGATACCAGCACGCCACAGTGACACTCAAATGAAAACCACAAATCATATGGTACCATGAAACTAACAACATGAAATTTTTTAAAAACCACGACTATATGTTGGTCAGAACATGGCTAAGCTATCCAAAAAAATGGTAGAACAGAACATACAACTGAAAGCACAAGGTACCACATGTGTTTTTCCAATAAATTATTGAAATTAAAGTTAGCCATAGAATCTACAAAAATTTAGCCACTACTGTATGAAAATACCATCGCTGAAAAATCATATCTAGAAATACACAATTGAGATTAATCAATATAAACTCGTAGAGTATGGTGAATAAAAGGAATAAATGAAATAAGGTAATGAAAGAATGGCGCTTTGTTCACAAAGGAAAATTAAAAGAAAGGCACTCATCTTACCTGTCCTTGTCCTTGTCTTCACAAGCATATCGGAGCTCACGACAAGCAAGGGCCATCCTATGGCCACCAATACTGTAACGAAAAATGCACACAGAGGATTAAGATTCAGTCTACCATCTGTGGATCAATTAAGGATCAAGTGCCCATTTAATGGCATTGCCTCATGAACTTTTAGAAGCAATTCTGGCAACTGTACTGGAAGATGCAATGTCGAAGTGGGAAAGCAAGATTGGGAACTTGCCTTTAATGCATCACAAACAATGATAAGAAGAAGATGGTATTGTAATCTCAAGAAAATACAATTCACAAATCCATTGAAACATTGTGGGTCAGAAGCTTACTAGTCTTATGACCTTAAATTCAGTTCTACCTTTTGATTATACATATCTGCCTTTATCGCTTAACTTCTAAGATTAATGAAGATATGCACATGCTAATTGATAATTTCAAAATTTTTGGTTCCTAACAGCAGAAAAGGGATACATTGAATGAATCACACTCTTGTCTGGATTACGGACACCATTTATCTCCACATTAGTATGATATTGTTCACTTTGGACCTAAGTCCTTATGGATTTGCTCTTGGGTTATACTCAAAAAACCTCATACCAATGGAGATATTTGTTCATCCTTATATACCTTTGATCCTCCCCATTTCTAACCAATATGGAACTTTGGTCGCATACCCAACAACCCGTGTAAAAGCATAGGTCATTAGTTCATTTGCACAGACTGAATTATCAAGTATCAAATGTGTAGCATCCATAACATGATTGTTTCTAAATGAAGCATTTTTAGCTGCTAATGAATACTTCAAAATGTTTTGGATGCTGCGATATAGCAGCTTCCAACATTCTATATAATGACCTGCAGCGACACGTGTGTACATGTCTATAAAGCTTCTGATATTTCAAATTATGCGCCGGCCACAGGTAATGCATACATTCTTCTCTCTAGTTTCCAACATTTTGTTAAGCGCCGCAAGACACGCGCGCGTGCAGTTGACTATATTGATATTACCACATGCCACCTAATATTAATAGGGAAGCTTTCCATATGGCTTTAGACATGCACCAAATTCCATGCATGTAACTGTCTAGAATGGAAAATTCTCAACTGAAAAAGGAATAAACTGGAATGACAAATAATCAAGTTTCTAACAAATTTAAATATCAAAGGATGTAAAGAACAGGCTACCAAGAGCTAGCGCCTCTGATCTGGTGAACTTGGTCAACAACCCTGGTATAGTTGATATCAGGTTCATTTCTGATGACAGGACAGGACAGTTGCTCAGAAATCAATTAGAAAATGGAAGAATAATAATATTTAACTAAGAGAAAGCGGTGAAATATTTTTGAGAATTACAGGTATCTGATCAATGCTGCTATGGCATTTTCAGCATCACTGCAGAATGTGCTGACCAAATCAATCACAAACTGAGGGCTCTCTCTAGGTAAATCAAGGATTTCATCAAAATGACTGTCCAATATCCCCTGCAATGAATAAAAGAATTAGCCAGAATATAAAAACATTTTAGCATTTTCTTGGAAAGAAGAATTTGAGATAACACACTAATAATGAAGCAAACCGTCCATTTCCATAAGATAAGTCACAAAATATCCAAAATATTTACAATATTTTTTTCTCTTTTAGTTAATTTTTTAGTAGGAAACTTCACTTCTTCTTTTATTGTCAATGATGAACCAAAAACTCACCCTTATCCTACTTGTATATATGGCATGAAGCCAAGAAAAAAGGAGGAAAACTTCACAAGAGGCAAAGGATGGCTTCAATTATAATTTTACATTACTCTTTTCTTTTGGTAGATTTTATTGAGAAAGCAATTGAACTCTTGAAAGACACTAAAGTTTTCCCTTCTTTTCTTTCCCTCTTGAACAGTTTCACATCAACCAGACAAATTACACACACACACACACACACACACAAAAACACAATAAGAGAAGAAATGGACCATGTTCTCTAGCAAAAGCACAAGAACACAAAGAACTTTAACAATGGCAGTACTACATCCAAAAAGAAAGATACAGAGGAAGATAAGCAAAAAGCAAGTGAAGAAAAGGTGATGTCTTCCTAGCAAATATTTCATCAAGATTACAATTTTATATAAGATCACATCAAATTAGATAAAGAGAAGAAATGGGGCCGTACTCCACCTGCTCATGCAAACTCTTGACAAAGTTCCTTTGCTCTTGCCAAACATTAGAACCCCCCATTTTTGTTCTACAAGACAAAAGCTAGCACAGAAGAAATACGGGAACACTCAAAAAGAAATGAAAACAAAGTTAGCTCTCGTTTATTGACAGCTCCCTATTTTCTAGTGAGACAGCAGAGAATTGAGAGCATGCAGTGTTGAATATATGTTCGTTTTGGTTGCATATAGTGAGAGTGAGAGAGGGTGGAAACTGAAAAGGCAGTTAGTCACTCTGGTATCTAAATTTGGCAGGAAACCTGCACTCCGCTGTCAGCTATTCGTGGTAACGCCTCCATGGAACAGTTTAAAAAAGAAAAGGTCGGATGGGGACAGAGTTTACGCGCTTTTCACTTCACGCTCTTATCCACGCACCACCAAAGATAAATATGGCTTTAATTCATAAGCTTATCTTAATTTTGAACCTTTCTTTTCAGAAAATAAGATTCAAATTGTTTTATGTTTTGGGTGTTAGATGGTTTAATTGCTAATTAGTTATTTAATAGTTATCCTTAATCGGCCACAGAGCAGGCAGTTGCGTACGAGAATTCTTGAATTAAAATTTCAATTTCGACGTCTTCTTTACCCCTTTTTCCCCCATATTATTAAATTCCAAGGACGCATTTTAGGTAATTTTTTTAGAATTTAATTTTTTTTTGGCATTGTACTGAGCATTTTGGGTTACAATTACGTCCATTCCTATCTGCCATATGTTTTGACTAAAAACTCATCAGGCAATCATATTTTTAGGGGAAAAAAAAACAATAAAAAATATTTCATACTGATTGAATTGCAACTTGAAAGTTGTACTTCTTACCCTATTTAAGTAAATAATAAATGGGTTATAACTTGAAAAAAAAACTATCTTATTATTCCAAATTCATATCCATATATATATATCTCAGTTTACTTTCAAAATACCTGTATTTTGTGCAAAATTTTCACCCGCTAGGTTGCCATTTAATTCATTGCTGTCCACTGGGAAGAGCCAAGCAAACCTTTAGAAGGGTAGACCGTTGAAGGAATTTGACTTTGTATGAAGATGGAGAAATTGAAGAAAATGGAATGAAGCCACCAACCTGCTCGAAAGTCTCGAGCATGGGAAAGGGGATCGACAGGACTGGAAGTCTAGACGACAAAGCATAAACCTATGGACCCATGATATGCCAGAGATTCCAGAAAGGGCAAAGGGTTTTAATAAGTGGAACAAGCAATGCTAAAATCATTAGAAACAAAGCACAATTTCTCTGGTTGTTGTAACATGATATCGCCAAGAAAAACAGCTAAAGAAATCCAAGAACCAAACATGACAGAACTTAAAAATGTTTTTCTCTTTTATTCATATTTTTTTTTATAGAGGAGAGTCCATCTAGAACTGGCATTAAAGCAATGGGATTGATGAACATACTAGACTAAAGTTGAAGAGGATAAATGCGAGCTGTGTACACAAATTGTTCATATATTATCACTAACTGCATCTTTATTTCGGTGCCATGGAAACTGTATGAGATATATTAATATTATTTTTTAAGTGGTAGTTCACATAATAGCAAATGGACTCAATTGATCATAGTGGAAAACAGCATGTTTCCTTGCCACATAATGTGGTTTCGTATGATCACAGAAAGCATTGATTTGCTGCTCTCTAATGTAAGAGTGCATTCTTCTAAAAATTAACTGAAAATTATATCCCTTCTTTGTGCCTTCCATATTCTCCAACAAGAGTTGCCAAATCATGAACAAAAATAAAAAATACTTCAAGAAAGATACACTGCAGGCAAGTGAGTTGAGAGATGAAAACAAAGCACTTACTTAGACATGTGATTCTTATTTCTTAGCCACACCAGCAAGGCAGCAACCATATCAATATAGATTCACCACTAAAAGAAGATTATACTAAGACTTGGGGACAGTCACATTTAGGATTTTTACATATTGGTATGGCTTGTCTGTTTTGTCCACCTTCTCAATAGCCTGTCATCAGAATGCATCCGCTTTATGTCAGATAAAAGAATAGGTACTGGGTAACATGCAAACATGCGTAACGCAGGTTGCAAGGCTGTGTTGTTCTAGCGCAATCTGTCCATGGATGCTAGGACAATACCCAAACTAAACGGTCAGAAAATCTCCCTTGATCAATATATAGGGGACGGAAGTTGATGAAGAAATGGAGTAAAACAATGCCATCCCTCCAAAGCACCATAGTCTATCAAATTTTCACATGCAGGAAATAATAATAAAAAGCAATTAACAGCAATAATAGGCAAATACTAATGGATACAGAAGTGCAAGCTCAAGTTTACCTGTACAACATCCATTCCCTTCACAACTCTACCAAACAGTGTATGGTTGTTGTGCAGCCATAGAGTGGCCACCGTGGTAATAAAGAACTGAGAACCATTGGTATTTGGGCTTGCAGTTGCCATCAATACTGTGGAAGGCCCGTCGTGTA